AGTCCCAGCCCAATGCCAGGGCCTGGAGCCCCTGGAGCGCTGCAGATACGGTCCATAGTAGAAGGTTAAGGAGCTGGAGCCTGAGGGCCAGGACAAACTGCCTTCCTTTGTATCTGGCTGCCCCTTGGAAGCTATGGCCCCCTGTGCAGGCAGGCCCTCATCTGCTTATTTTCTCTGAAAGCATATTCACAGACACCCGCAATCAGTCTTCTGGGTGATTCCAAAACTCATCAAATAGATAATCAATAGCAACCATCATAGGTATGAAGTGCCTCCCACTGACTTGCAATTCCTCCTGGGCCCACAGCTGGTGGCAATGTTTAGAGAGCTTCTGAGAATGTGCAGGCAGAGCCGAGCTGTCAGAAGTAATAGTTACTGGAGTGTATCTTGTCTATAAGAAAAGTAACACACACATTAATAATCAGATCATATACATCAAGGGTGGAAGAGGTCCGTCTACATTCAGCAGACACTGGCGGTGCCACCTGACAAAGATTTAAGTAACAAGAACTAAAGCCCGGTGGGAATGTCAAATCCACACGGCAAAGCATTTACTACCTCAGGTGACATGGATAAAGTATCGACTCTGGTGTTAGGATAAATCATATATTCTGCAGGACATGAAGTGCTTTGATCTTTCTGGCCTGGGAAGAAAAATAGCCGGTCCTCAACTGACCTGTCAGAGAAACTTTCCAATTTTTGCCAAGTTTAGGACTATTTGGTGTCATGTCCAACACTCCAGCCAAGCCTGCATGTTATCATAGAGGACACGCGAGGTCACAGGTTTCTCCGGAGTTAACAGGTTTTTGAAAACATTGGTTTGTGCCTGTGTGAAAGATGGATGTGCCACAGTGCGCATCAGAGGACAACTTGTCAGTACTCTCCATCACGAGGGTTTCGGGGATTGAACTTGGCTTGTCAGGCTTGTCAGCAAGCTCCATTACCTACTGAGCCATCTCACACTTTAATTCTTAATTTATTCCTTAAAACTTTGAAAGTTTCACTAGGTTCTGCTGCTCCCAGTTTTGGATAATAATATTCACAAGTGTCATTCTATGAGATTTTCTTTTTTTAAACTACTTTTTCAGTGTTGTTATCTTTCCCATTGGCTGTGTGAGAGGTTAGGATGACTTTCATCTCTCTGATTCCTTTAGTTATAAAAAATATTTTAAGGCGAAGCTCTGAGAAATTTTATTATGTGATATTAGAAGAGAATAATTGGATCATGGAGTTCTGTTTGATTAGCAGATGGAGAGAGGACTGAACAGGATTTTATTTAATAAAAGTGTAATAAGAGTATATTGTTTTTCTACATCAGTAAATTGAAACACATACATTCCTAGCAGTTCCTAGAGAGATCCTCACAACCGCAGACATGCCTTACAGCGTTCACAAAGTATTGCTCATCAGAGTGAGAAATCTGGAACAGTTCAAACATCCATCCAAGGGAGAACGTGTAAACAGAATCATGGTGCGCTTGTATAGTAACAGTAGGATACAATACAGTGGCGGAAACAAGTTAGAACTATACACATTAATATGCATGAGTTATAAAAATAGAGAATTTTAAAACCATGGGATATATATGATTTCATTTATACAAAGCTCAAAAATAGGCATATGCAGGTGATAATAACCATAAAGAAAAAATCGAAGGGACAATGTACACGAACTTCAAGATGGTGGTTCCCCTTCTGGTGGAAGGAAGAGGTAGTGACGGGGGAGGGACCTAGACATGTTTTCCAGGTCTGTTATTTAAGTCGAGTGGTAGGTACAGAGCGTTATTCATTTTATTATCCTTTAAACTGTACATATAATTATATACACCCCACCCTCCACTTTTCAAACAGTGCTGGGATGGAGCTCCAGGCTTTGCAAATACTAGGTAAGTGCTCTACTACTTGCTACACTGGGAGCTACATGCCCAGCACTAAATCCTATTGTATACATCATTCAAAATCAAGGTGATTTTCAAAACAGTGCCTGGAACATGGAGCTGGCAAATTTTGGTTGTGGAGATGGGCGAGGTTTCACTTAGTCATAGCAGGACTCAAGGGGACATTGTAGAGATCCCCTGTGTTACCTACTGATAGGAAAGAGGGGCATGGGAAGTAACTGTTAGAGACAAAGTCTGGAGAGGTGGGGGAGGCATTTGACGAAAGTAGGAAGCACCTCCCATATTAGCACAGTGTCTCTGGAGAAAAATTTAGTGAGTCTGTAGATTGCGAGATGAGAGGCCAATTGACCTGACATCTTTTTACTGAGGCATCAAGTGAGGGTCTCAATGGAGATAAATGTGGAACACGTGGGGGTCACAAGGAGAGAGGAGGCGTGAGGGCCTACAAGGGGAAGCTAACTTCCCAGGGACCGAAAGTAGGTCATGGTGCAGTGATGAGTGCCGCTGCTTTGTGGACAGAAACGTGAGGCCAAGCCAACCCACAAAGTGGCAGTTAGACACTGGGAATCTAGATCCCGATTGGGCTAGCCAGCCAGATAATAACAAAGGGGCACTGAAGTAGTAGAGGGACCTGAGGAGCAAAGGACTTAGTTGCTGGCCATGGGATTTAGTTTGGGTGACAGGAGAAATTGGTGGGTTTAAGGAGATGTTAGTAAGTGCTAGGTATAATAGCTTTGGGACCTTGCAAAGGCCAATGACTTCTTGCAGTGCAGTGGATCAGGGTAAATCTAAAGTTAATGGTCAGAAATGCTTGGGACAGATTCCGGAAGTGATCAGGCATGGCTCATGCCTTTAATCACAGCACCCAGGAGGCAGGGTGAATCTCTAAGTTTGAGGTCAGCCTGGTCTACAAAGTGAGTTCCAGGACAGCCAAGACTGCACAGAGAAAACCTGTCTTGAAACAGAAGATTCCAGAAACGGTTTAGAACATTCCCAGTGATAGGGCTAAAGTTTCCGTTCAGGGTTGAAGTGACAAGGAGACTGGGACAATGACACTGGTTATTAACTGGGGAAGGATGGTGAAACTAGTGGGGGTAGAATAATGTTGATTGAGGAGGGGCTGGCAACTGGGGGGGGGAGGGTGCCAAGATGACAGAGGCAAATGGCATGTGGATGTAGTCACTGGGAATGAGGACAGAAAAAGGCTGCAGAAGCGTGTGAAACAGCAGGTAGCATCTGGCATAACTGGATAGCGCAGGCTCTGTAGTAGAGAAATGACAGAAGCAGAAATGGAGAACACAAAGGTTTAGAGGGCTTCTCAAGGGACAGGGTGTGGCTGAGAGATGCTTCTTGGAATACCCCAAGAGTCACCTAGAGCAGTTTTGGCAGCCACACTTCAAGTGTCAGAGGGGGCAGCAAAAATGAGCAGTTGGCACATGAGGCTCTGTGCAGGGCCCCTGGGGATGAGGGTCTGAGCAGTTTGGGTCTTTAGTGATGACTGACATAAACGTGATGGCTAACTGAAGGAGGTGGTCCTCTCATGGCAAGGTGGCCCTTGGACTACAGGCTTCTAGACAATTGTCTCTACAGTGCCCAGGTTCATGTTTTACTTTGTGGTTACTTTTTGAACAATTTGTATAGGTTGACTCAAACCCACCAAAAACTTGGGAAGTCTTGCCTCCACCTCTACTGAATTTTGCAGGGGAACCAGTGACTCCAATGGTTCACCTGTCCAGGCTGCCAGTCACTTTATCCAGGAATTCTGTGTGATTTTAGGCGAATGACCTCTCCATTGTCTTTGAGACACAAAGGATGTTGTGATGAAGTGTATTTAGTGATCTAGCACAGACCCAAACATGCGAGAGGTAGAATAAAAGGATTTTGCTTTTTATTTTGTCTCCAGTCTAAGATAGACATTTTTTATATTTGTGGAGGGCAATGCTACGGTACTCCTGTGGCATCTGTTCACTGATGGCTGGCAGAAGAGGAAGGTGTATACATTTTCTGCACTTGCTTATGGCAAAGTGTGACGGCCTCTGCTCCCTCAGGCCATATTCTAGCTTTGCCACCAGAAAGTTCCACATCATATTTGAGGGGATAAGGACAGGCCACCTACACTGAGGCCCCACCCCAGGTGGACCAAACTACCTTAAACATTCTTTTAGATGAGTATTTTGCCTGCACATATATCTGTGTATCATGTGAGACTAAAAAGGCGGAAGAGGACTTCAGATTCCCTGGGACTGCAGTTACAGTCAAGCAAGCCACATTCAAGCTGCTTTGAGGAGTCTGGTTTAGCAGCCTGGGTAACTGTACCCAAGTCCTCCAACTCACAGAAGTTCGAAGGGTAGCCTGAGATACAGTGAGGGCTTCACAGAAGCAGATGATTGTCCTGACACGAAACCCACTGCTTGCCCGTGAGTTTTGGATACGACAGAAGACAAAGTGATAGTCAAGGCCTTCCTCCACCTGGAGGCCCATTTCAAGTAAGTGCTCCTCAGCATGAGGGGCCCCGGGAAAGGCTTTGAAATGGCAGCCCTCAACAGCATGGGAGGGGGCTCACTCTCAACTAGGACTGAATTCTTTTCAGCCACAGCAGGGCTGCAAAGCAAAGCACGTGGAGGCTCATCTGGTCTTTGTAGTGGAAAGGTGGTTCCTTTAGTGTCCCTTGGTTTGGACAGGAAGGAAATAGTTCAAGTCAAGGCGTGCTGACAGGAATTAGCTTTGAGAATGCTTAGCAGTTCTGTTGTGGAATATTTGTTTAACTAGGCAAAGCTGTGTTAGATTTGTTTATGCTGCATTTATTTAACTATGGAAAGATGTGTTATATTTGCATTAATTAAACAACCTGGCCGAACAGTGGTGGTGCAGGCCTTTAATCCCAGCACTCAGGAGACAGAGGCAGGTGGATCTCTGTGAGTTTGAGGCCAGCCTGTTTTAAAGACCGAGTACCAGGACAGGCTCCAAAGCTACACAGAGAAGCCCTGTCTCGAAAAACCAAAAGCCAAACAAAACCAAAAAACACTGGGCTCAGAGGGGTGGGACTGGCACCTAGTTGGCAGGAAGTAGCAAGGAGGTGGGCATGGGTTTTTTTGTTGGAGCGGTGTGGAGAGAGGCTCCTGGATGCCAGCAAAGAAGAACATTAGCCAGTTGCTACTCTCTCTTTGAATCTCAAGTTTTATTAGAATGAGAGAGACTGAGTTAAAGCTGCCTTTGGCAGCAGCGGCAGAGCCACAGAAGTCCCCTAGACTACGGCCTGAGCAGCAGGGCTGCTAGTAGTTTAAACTGCAGATGCTGACAGGGAAGACAGCAGTTCTGTTTCCTATCAGTAACATCAGTAGCTTTTTGCTTCTCATTTACTGTTTAGAAAGTACAGGAAATCATTCACCTTCCTTAGCATAGACTTTCAAAAAGTTGGAACAAGGTCAATACACAGGTAAATTTACGGACAATTAAAAAAAAAAAAAGATTACTGTTCCCTAGTATTACTGGCATTCTTCTTAGATGGAGGACCTTTAAGTTGTTTTTAGCAGATCTGAATCTATTATGAAATTATGGTAAGAGTTCCACGGAGTGTCCCTGAGGTGAGAACAGCCTAGTTATAGAAGATCACTCTTATTTGGCAGAGTGGACAAATCTTGGTAGATCATAAAAACTATTAATTTACTTGACAAAACTTAATTCAAGGGAAGAGTTTATATAGGGGAGAAAACATTGAGCTAGGTACAAAAAGGTCGATGGAGGTGAAGGCAAAGGTTCAGGCTGGAGGTACCACGCAGAGGAGTCTAATGGAAAACAAGGTGCAGAAACACACAGGCTCCTACTTAATTCCTCAAAGGAGGTTGGGAAGTCTTCCAGTCGGTCCACTCTGTCTCCATTCTTGAGACATCCGAGCTTCTATTGCTGCTTGTGCACAAGAGTAATTATCATTGAGTAAGGGAAGCTGTGAATACAAGAACGACATGATACAGAAGGGCTGGCCGCGTTCCTGCAGAGCAGATGGGATTCCTGGATTTACAAATAACCCTTCCCAGCACAAATACACAGAACAGCCTTTTCTCTTAGAGGTCAGAAAGAAACTATAAAACATTTCTTATAAAAGTAGTTTTTAATAAATTGATGTATTTCAATGTTGTAACATGATAACCCAATGCTGTATCAAGGTAGCAAAAGTGAAGGTTCCTGGTGTTTCATAAACACTGAATGACAGTACACTTGCATTCAACTTCACAAGAAATTCTCTTCAGGTCCATGAAGATTCACTGACAGCTGTCCCAACTGTTGACAGTGGGGATGTGTGTGTATAGAATGAGGAGATAATGAAAGTCTAACAATTGAGCTACACTCTCAAACCCATACTGACAAGAATGAAGTGCAATGGCAGGATGGCCAACTGCTGACAAAAACTAACTTTTAAAATTAGTCATTTAAAGCAAACATAGCATATACCAAAGCTACAGGAAATATATAATGGAGTTATAAGATGACACATGGGTTAGAGTCCTGAAGCAGTGAATGTGTTTCTAGCCGTCTTGTGACAGAAGAAGCCATGGAAAGAGTTCTGCAGCTGTCGGTGGTGCCTGATCTCTACACACAATGCTTTCAATGGACTACACCTGGAATTCCTTGCTCTGTAAGATGCTGGTGATGGGTAAGATGCTATTGCTGTGAGTCAGAGCAATAGTTGGCTGGAGCTCAGGCCTGGAGGCGCTCTAGGACAATCACCACCTGCTACCGTCCCATGTTACACTTCTAAAGCTGATGCCCCCAGTGAGGGTTAAAAAACCCAAGCATATTTAAAACAAGTACCAGAAAACAGCTGTCTGATCTTTTACAGCTATTACTGTTCAACCCTCCAGGAGAAATGGTTTCACTTGGTTACAACTGCAGAAGCTATACTGGACTCCATGGATCACATGTAAATTCATGACTACAGTTTTGACCTGGAATTTTTTTCTTATGAGTTCTGGTTGAGAACAAGATTGCTTTCTTCCAAGGGCAGGAGAAGCAAAATTAATAAAACCCATTTTTAATTTGCACTGTAGAAAAGGTCCTCACTAAACGAGATTCTTTCTCTTTCAACCTTAATAAAGTACACTAGACTGCAAGAAACCTCATGTCCAGAATCTGACCTGCTCACTTTCAGGTTTCCCAGAAGACCTTTATATCACTTCAGACGCTACAGAGACCAGCAAGTCACTTGTATTTTGAGTTGCTGAAATATGAGTGAACAGAGAAGAGCTGTTACTGGTTATTTACCCAGAAATGTCTGGGAGGCCATTCCCTTGGGTCAACAGCAGATTCAAAACATATCTCAATGGGTTAGAAAACATCATGATCCATATTATTAATTTAAAAAAAAAAACTCCAAGTGAACCACATCAAGCATTACCTACTAACCTGGGCTTGGGGGCTAGGTCTCTTCTTTTAGTGAACAACCTCCTGGAGAGCATTAGTGTTTTGTCCTAAGTCTCATTTTCAGACCTGAACTAAGTCAACTCTTCATAAAGACCGCATATTCTGTCCTGCTGCATGGTTCCTGAAACACAGGCTCTGCCCCCCACAGAGCAGAGCAACTTTCCTCTCTGGAAACAGAACAGTCAAACAACACAAAGTGGCTTCATTTTCCTCAGGCCAGTGTTTATAACCCAAGGTTTACTTTCCCTAAAGAGGGTGTGCTTACATTAAGTATCAATCAAAATCAGCTCATGGCAAAGTTAAAGATGTAATTTACTCAAAGATATGTATCCTCACATAGAGAAATGTGACTTTCACACTAATGAAGTATCTAAAGCTGCAGTCAGTACCTTGGATGTTTCTATGCTGCATCCACTACTTTACACAGGACACTCACTCTTAAGGCAGAACATTGATTGTGACATGTAATGATTGGTTCTTACATCCAAGGGTCAACTGGGGGTAGACTCTAGCAGACAACTTCCCTACTAAAGAAGATTTAACTGTAGCGACAACTTCATTCCTACGATTATGTTATGTAAGAGACACACATTTGAGAGAACATAAAAAGATGAATTTAAGACACACAAAAATATGACTTTTCAATGAGAGATCAATGAAAATAGAATTTCTATTATGAGGCGAAACTACTCTCATCATGAACTAATAAACTCCAACAAGTCATTTCTGGTATGGTGTACACAAAGTATTAAATATTAAAGAATTACCTTTGGGGGGGTGTTTCTTTAGACTCTAGTTTTCAACGTCTAGTATAAAAGGTAGCCTGGATAGTTAAAAAGCAGTTTAATGTCAGTTCATACTGCTGCTCAGGAAGCTAGGTTAGGATACTCCCGCCCCACCCAAAACATCCTGGGCAGGGAGGAGTTTAGTATGTATTAAAATAAAAATGAAGCCCCTCCCCAACATATGTGCAAAAACACTTGTCAGTTGTAAGAGTATCGTCCATGAAAACATCTTCATTATAGAATCAAGGCATCAAGCCAGGCAGATACAAGAATACCACCCTGCTGAGGTGGGCGTAGTTGGGATGAACCAGCTGCTCCACGGGCACCTTGGGAAATGTGCTACTCAGAATGGGAAGGGGTGGAGTGGAACTGACCCAGGGCTCCAAGCCCTCGGGCTGTGTGTGTGCTCCTTCATGTCAGGCCAGTTTGGATTCCTGTATCTGGGCACCAAAAATGGTAACAAAACAAATACAAATCTAACATACAGCTCTTAAGCAGGTGATGGGAACTGTAACCATGTAAGTACCTCTTCAAGTGCCTACTTTTTATGCTGTAGTTCTGGCGATTTTCAGGATGTGTACAAAGATGACCTGCCTAATTTCTGAAGATGAAGATTTTCTTCTTTCATGGTGGCAGAAGTCCATGCAAGATTTGTAAACAGTGATACAAAATACTGTAAACGTAATTTAACAGAGCTCATATAAAACAGAGGAAGTGAATCCAAATTTACAAGTGGATTAAAAAAAAAAAAGAGGGCAGCTTCATATAAAGTTTTCCCTCCTGCGCCAAGTGATTTTTCTTCTTCTTTTTTTTTTTTTGTTTTTGTTTTTGACTACAAAGATAATCCTGAGCTGAAAAACTGGGATTTGGGGGAGAGCCATCTTTGCATACAAAATATCCAGAGGACATTTACTCTATTTTCTTTTCTCTAGTGATATTCAACTGCCAGAGACAGTTCTGAAGGTGTGACTTTGGAGATGCTCATAGTTTAGTGTGACGCCCAGTTCTGGCACCAGCTGCAGCACTTGCCATGGCAGCGGATGCGGCTGCATCCTCTGCTTCTTCCAGTTCATCCTGGAGCTCTTGGCTGACACTAGACTGCAGTGCAGCAGGAGTGAGCCACTCCTTTGGGAGGCAACTCTGTAGAAAGGGTATACAGGAGCTGAAGTAGGCCAGTCGGTTGATCCAGCGAGGAATCTCTTTCCCACAAAGAATCTAAGGAGGAGACAGCTCTGTGTTAGGGAGAAGAGAATAATGCTGGCTGTCCTGCTAAAGGGTGGGTAGCTACAGGGTGAGAAAATATATTGCAGACCAGCTTGTGGGGCTACTATTCCAGGTTGTCGACAAGCAGCTCCTTAACTCAGGAGCCAGGAACCCTTCTGCAATCCCTTCCTTTCTTTCAGCTGTGTATTTTTTTTTTTTTTTTTACAGTTATGAAGTCAAGCTAATTCTGCTTGGCTTCTGTCTGTCTTGGATCCTTGAGCTACTTTGAAACATGTAAAATTACTTTGAACAGTACACAGAAGAAAAAGGCTTATTAGCACAAGATGTTATTAGAGTAAGGGAAGCCCCAGGCTGTTAGCAGAGTCAGTCTTGGGTATTCTTGTCAAATCTTTTCCCAGGTTCTTTTCTACTCTCTTCCAGTTTCTACCATGCCACTTTTTCCTGGGCTGCATTCCATGTATTTGCTTTCAACCCAGACTCATTTGTTTCAAGGATGCTCAGATGGTCCAGAAAGAAGTGTGCCTACGTGAAGACTAGCTCCACGATACCCTGGCAGAGGGACCATGGTCAAAACAAAGCACGGAGGCCTGGCTAGGGGGACTAAAGGGGATAGAAGTGGGTGTCAGCTGGAATCCTTCTTGGCTGGTGACATGCTACATTTCTCTGCCCACTTCTCATTCTTATAGAATCCTTGGGACTGGGAGTCTTCCTCTTCCTATTTTAGATAGTGAGAAGCAGCTCAAAACAATGCTGACTTTACCCTGTATCATCTTGGCTCTCGTAAAAACTGGACTCAACTGAATCCATGTTCCACTGCCACTTCGATGGTTTGCCTCTAGTCATGCTAAAGATTATTATCATGTGATCTGAAACTAGTATCTTAAAATATCTGCAAACATTAGGTTAATGACTTTGGAATAAGGCTTCAAAGTTTCTTACAGCAACAAGGTAGTAAGCATTTAGAAAGCTGGCAACTGTGCAACACTTTCCCCTAAGGATACAGCAATATTCCTTAATCCGTTTTCTAGCTTGGCTAAAAGGGAAATTAGGTGACTTCATTTACGGACAGGTAGGGTGTTCTGACCATTTTTGATTACCCAGGATCTATCACAGTGCCTAAGAGCACAGAGTGAGGCAGATGGGTACTTAAATATGTTTAAATAATATTTACTTGGGTAAAATGTGGGAGAAGACCGAGCAATGAACTTACTTGATACCGTTCCCATCTGTCTACTCCTGAATGCACTAGCAGCATTGTGTCTTATATTTGAGATAGACCTAGGAGTATCTGCATACTGCATTAACCACATATAAAGCAGTTAAGAAAAATTAGGTTAACACGATAGCCTCTTGCTGCCCATTTCACATTTTCCTTCTCAAATTTTGATTCCATTCAGCAATCTGTTCTCTTAGACATATCTTTGTGTTTCAGGGAAGCTGACTTCACACAGCTTCAGTCCCAGTTGGGGACTGATCAACCTAAAACAGTCTGTAATATCCAGCCACCTGTGTTCATAGATACGCGCCTATGGCTCTTGGTTACAATGAAAAGACGCAGAGCTAAGGTCATGAATAGTTCCAAGTCTAAAACATCCATTAGCTGACTCTTTCATAAAAAGTTTAGCAATTCTTGGGTTGATGTTTCACTTTTTTTTAAATTTCCATTTTAAAGAAAGCATTTTATGTACAAGCATTTTACCTGCATGCACATTTGTATGCCATGTGTGTGGAAGAGGGCTTCAGATCCTAAAACTGTGTAACACAAGGGCCGGCTTGTTGGGGTTTCCGTCCCGCCCGGTATCCCAACAGCCGGCAAATCCCAAAGAGAAATTACACACAGGACTCCATAAGGTTATAAACTGATTGACTCATTAGGTCAGGCTTCTTGTTAACTCTTATAACTTATATTAACCCATTATTCTCATCTATGTTAGCCATAATGGGCTCAGTACCTTTCTCGGTGTGACAGCTTACATGTTGCCTCTTCGGTGGTCTGTACAGGAATGGCTGAGGAACCTTCTTGCTTCCCAGAATTCTCCTGTTCTCATTGCATCATCTCTACTTCCTGTCTGGTTTTCCCACCTATACTGCCTGCCTGGCCAATCAGCGTTTTATTAAAATATGATTGACAGAATACAGACAATTCTCCCGCATCAAAACTGAAGTGTAAATTACCATGTGGGTGCTGGGAACTGAACCTGGGTCACCTAGAAGAGCAGCCAGTAGCTGCTAAGTCATCTCTTCAACAACCTTGGGTCTAAGTTTTGAAAACTCTGAGTCAAAGTCCATTAGTAGGTTATTTAGCATTGTAACCAGAATTTTATTTTAATGAAACAGATTATTAATAGTGAAGAAACTGTGACACTTGTCTTCCATGCATTTGTATAAATGGGAACATAATATTTTTTACTATGGTTATTCATCAAATAGTATTTGGTTTATACTGTGTGAAGGGTAATGTCAATTGGACCAACCACCAAATAGATAAGGCTCTAGGTAGGTCTGTGAGAGATTATCTAGGTTAGATCATTGAGGTGAGGAGACATACCCTAAATGAGGACAGCACCATTCATGGGCTGGAGTTCCAGATACTGCACAAAAAGGAGAAAGGAAACTCAGCACCAGATTTATCAGTCTGCCTCCTGACTCTGTAGATGTAGGGAAGGCATGGCTCTTGCTGCAATGATGGACTTTCCTTTAACTATAAGCCACAATATACTCTCCCTTGTTTTATTTATTTGAACTCTTCTTCTCCAGCTCTCCCCCTCTCTCTAATTTATTTTTTGTTACTTCATGCACATTGATATTTTGCTTGCATGTATGTCTATGTGAGGGTGTTAGATCCCTTAGAACTGGAGTTACAGACAGTTGTGAGCTGCTGCCACGTGGATGTTGGGAATTGAACCTGAGTTCTCTGGAAGAGCAGTCAGTGCTCTTAACTGTTATCTTTCCAATTCCCCTTCTTTTATTCTGTAAATAAAAAAAAATTGTGCTTGCTGTATGCATGTATGTAAGTACACATATGCCATGATGTGTGTGGTTAGAGGTAACTTTCTGGAGTCAGTTCCCTCCTTTTACTGTGTGAATCCTGGGGATCAAACTCAAGTAGCCAGACTTTGCAGCAAGGCCCTTTACCTGCTGAGACATCTTGTTGGTCCTTAAAGTTGCCTTTGTCAGGAATCCTGTCACAGCGACCAGACAAGTAAAGAATAAAAAAGCAGGACCAGGAGTGGAGCTGCTGCTCTGATAGACCTGAACCTGTGGTTCTTTGGGCCACTGCAACTGGTTTACGGGAGAAATATTAAAGACTTTGGAACTTTGGGCTAGAAAAACCCTTAAACACTGTAAGCAAATCTTAATGGGGTATTTCTGTGAGAGCTGGGAAGATAAGAATGTTGAGAGAAAAGGAGACAGTGGAGTCCCAGCTTAGGAAGTTTCAGAGGGAACCACTGACTCCATACATAACTGAGCTAGAAGTCATCCACATGTTATTCTGGCAAAGGATTTCGCTGCATTTTACCCATGTCATGAGAACTTGAGTGAAGTCAAATACAGAAGTAATGGACTAGTTAGTCTGATGGAAGAATTTCAGGGCAAGATCGCTTTTGGCTATGGTGTGGCCACCGGTTTTTGCTGTCATTTAGATCTAGGTAAGAGAGACCAAAAGTGAAGCAGACATTAGAGATGTACAGTACGTACAGGAAAGAGCCTGGGCACATTTAAAGTTGCAGTTGAGGCCCTTGTTGTATGGAGCACTGAAAAGGTGCTCTGAGGACAAGAGTCTACCCATCTAAGGCTCTGACTTGTAAAAATGCAAATACATCCCACAGAAGGAAGTCTAAACCAAGAATGTAACTGAAGGCGTTAATGCCCAGGGAAGTGTCTGTGCAGGACACACTCAAGTTGCTGCACTGTGGTCCAAAGGGCAGGCTACATCCTGAGCTGGCAGCAAAACTTGGTAGTATCATCTATATAGAACAGCTTTCTAAAATATTTATTTAATTATTTATTATGTATACAATATTCTGTCTGTGTGTGCGCGCCTGCAGGCCAGAAGAGGGCACCAGACCCCATTACAGATGGTTGTGAGCCACCATGTGGTTGCTGGGAATTGAACTCAGGACCTTTGGAAGAGCAGGCAATGCTCTCTTAACCTCTGAGCCATCTCTCCAGCCCCTATAGAACAGCTTTCTGAGGCATAATATAAAACTGTGTGAATCATGGCATCTTATACTATGGTGTCAGAAAACTGCTGAGCAGGCAAAAAACCTGGCAGTTCCCGAGAGGCTAACTGTGTGAAGCTATGACAGTGAACCCCAGTTAGTTGGAGAGGTCAGAATCATGGCTGACAAGGAAAGCTGCATGCATGAAGTGGCACTGACATGTGCTGAGGCAACAAGAGCTTGGACAGCGGCACTACCCAAGCCCTTTAGGTCACAAATGGGTCCAACAGGAGCCCTATATGCCAATATGGAGCTATGGGGTTTGGTGTTTTCCTTGTTGGTCTGGTTTTTGGTCTTGCTTTGGTCTATTCATTCCTTGATATGCTCCATTTCTGCCTTTTAAAATAGAATGTTTACTCTGAGCCACTGGATCCTGGAAGTAGGTAACTTGGTTTTATGTGAGAAAGGCTCAGTTAAGAGGTTACAGTTATACTTTTCTTCCCCTCAGAGACAGGGTTTCTCTGTGCAACAGCCCTGGCTGTCCTGGAACTTGCTTTGTAGACCAGGCTGGCCTCAAATATAAGAGGTATGCATGGGGAGTTCCTTACAACACTCTGGTATCAGCAAGACTAGGCTAACTCAAGCACCAGAAACAAGAAACTAGCTGACAATATTATATTCTCATATGAAGACTGTTCAACTATCACTACAGAATGGACTCTAGGACAGAAATGGGCCCTCTTATCTGTAATTTTACTGCTGCAATTTAAGTTATAATCAGTCACTTTTAGTCTAAAAAATGCTTTTAAGAAAGACTACATCAAGCCTTTAATGCCTGCATTTGTGAGGCAGAGGCAGAGAGCCAGGCAGATCTCTGTGAGCACAAAGCCAGCCTGGTCTACATGGTGAGTTCCAGGCTAACCAATCTAAGTAGAGACATCCTTTCTCAAACAAACAAACAAAAAACAAAACAAACAAAAATAACCAACCAACCAAATAAACAAAAACTATGTCTGCATAACTTTTGTTACAGCACAGCGTGATGTTTTTGCTGCTAAATTTCATTGCAGGTATTTATGTGTAGTGGTTTGAATGAGATATGTTCCTTATGGTCTCAGGAATTTGAATACTTAGTCCTGTTGGTGGCACTGTTTGGCAAGGTTCAAGGCTCAGGAGGTGTGGCCTTGATGAAGGAAATATGCCACTGGGGTTTAGAGCTTAAGACCATACCCACTCCTAGTGTGCTATTCACCACTTGCAGTTTGTGGTTCAAGATGTGAGCTCATGGCATCTAGTTCCCGCCATCATGCCTGCTACTTACTGCCATGCTTTTCCACCACAATGGACTCTTATCCTCTGGAACCGTAAGCTGAGTAAACCCTTCCTTCTAAGTTGCCTTGAACATGGTGTTTTATCAATCAATAGAAAAGTAACTAGTATATCATACATACAAAAACTATAGTATAAGCCAGATATGGTGCCTTTTAAAAAACAAATAAACAAAGCAAGTTATCTATTAACAAGAGTCAGGAAAATTCAGGTAGGCAACTAAAATTTACCAAACAAAAAGTCTCAGCAGCTAAGAAATTTCTTCTTCTTTTTTTCCAAGACAGGGTTTCTCTGTGTAGCCTTGGCTGTGCTTGAACTCACAGAGATCCCACCTGTCTCTGCCTCCCTAGTGCTGGGATTAAAGGTGTGTGCCACCACTGTACAGTGCTAACAGTTTCTTAACCTTTATTTTTTTAAAGTTAAGAATTTCAGTGTGTTATGGTTTGAATCTTAAACATTCTCCCAAGGTTCATGTACTAAGTGTGGTTGCTAGCTCAGGGCACAATGGAAAGTACAAAACTCTGAAGGGGTAGTCTAGTGAAAGGAAGTGTGGCTGGAGTCGTAGGAATGCCCCTGAAAGAATACCAGGCACCAGTTCCTTCCACTGTTTCTCTCTTGGTGACAGATGGTAAGCTGCTTGGCTCTTCTGTGTAGTTCCCACCAAGACACACTGTGCACAAGCTCCAACCAATGGTAATCCACAATGATTGGAAAATATGTCTTTTTCTATGTATTTGTCACAGTTATAAAATGCTAACATAAGGATACAAACCAAGTGAGTAAGAGGCAATTATCTGTAGTCATTCTACCCACTACAAAAGAATGAGCAGAATCACTACTTAAAACTCTGCTGACTCTATGGGCAGTGGTGGCACACATCTTTAATCCCAGCACTCAGGAGACAGAGGCAGGTAGATCTCTGAGAGTTTGAGGTCAGCCTGGTCTACAAGAGCTAGCTCCAGGACAGGAAGAATCAGGGAAAAAACACCAAGGTTGAATATAGTGACACAGAAAGTACACCAGCAAAGTGTTATCTGCAGAACTTTAGGAGGAAACTGAATTTACCTCTGATAAAGCTGAAGAAAAGTGATTGCAGTTTTTGTGCATCAAATGGTAGGCGTTGCCTTTATACTCTTTCCCCAGTTCTTCTACAATCTTCTCTATATCATCTTCTAGAAAGTCCGTACTCCCTAAAACAACAGCTTCTCTTAAAGAACAAAAAACAAAATAAACAAAGCGTTTCAATCAGGTTATTTATAATAAGCATTATTAAATACTTGCTTATTTCCAGGTATATTGTAATAAATAAATCAGGGCTAATATATTCAGACTAAGGTAAATGAGATACTTAGTAATTTCAATTTTAGTTTCCATTTTGCTTTATGAAACATGTTTGTTATTAGAGCACCAGATTTAAGGTAAAAATAACCTTGCTAAATACTCATAGCAAACAGCTGGTCATATTTTCACTAAAGAAAAAATTCTTGGTATTAACCACCCTTGTGTTGCATTGAGGCAAGCCATGAAACTTGACTAAATTTTAAAATATAGTATTCAAAACATCAAATAAAAACACTTCAATATATTTCCTGGAAAATGTAACAGATACTACTCAATAAAAGGTAAAATTTAAGATATAAGCTAGTTGTAAAAGACAGCTAAAAATTACTAGAAAATCATTTTATCAAGCACAAATGGAGACTGAGGGGCATCAGTGCTGAGTTAGGAGCCGTGCACTCATAACTGTTGCAGTCCTGTACTGAACTGTCTGTTTTATTCTGGGCACATTCACTATTACAGATCCACAAGTTTCTTCAAAGCTTCTTGAAATGAAGACTCTAAATCTCACTTAGGATGTAACAGGTGAGGGATAAACACTCTGACTAACGAAGCGAGGGGTCTAGAGATAGCTGCTGGGTTTAGGGCTACACTGCACTGAGGCCATCGACAAGAGTGTCCAGGTTCATCAGTTCATTTATTTTAATTTTACAAATGTTTCTTTCATTGGGAAAATGACGAGATTTTTATAGTAGGTCATACTAAAAAATCCCACCCTGACCACTCTCCCTTTGCAATTCGGAGACTAGGCAGAAGATCATCAGGTGAATTTCCTAAGGCAGAATGTAAAATAAATAAAGACAGATATATTTGAAAAGCTACAGAAAGCAAGTTACAAAGATTCTGAACAAAAAGCATAAACAGGTTATTTCACACATTATTTGATTTTGTATCCTTATATAACTTAATTCAATTTTAAAATTTTAACTTTTTAGATTTTTTTAATCTAAAAATTCTTTATACCCATAAAATAAGCTCTGACACCTACAATAGTGTGATAGAAGTTACTCTCCCTACTTACTTAAATTTAAATGTTTCTCCTAGTTCAGAAGCATTTCCTGGGGAAATTTCAAATATTCCAGAAAAAGGGTAAGGATGGCCACCATAAGCAAATTCTGAAAAGATAAAAGTAAAAATTTTTAGTATGTAATAAAATGAATCAGAATGCTGAATCAGCTTTAAAATACCACAAAGATAATGTTATTATCTTTGAATATTTTTCTAAAGTGCCCTTTGCAAGGTCCTTGTTTGGGTATTAGCAGTACAGAATACCTGTCTTTTTATTTTTTATTTTTGGTTTTTTGAGACATAGTTTCTCTGTAGCTATAGAGACTATCCTGGAACTAGCTCTTGTAGACCAGGTTGGCCTTGAACTCAGAGAAATCATGTCTCTGCCTCCCGAGTGCTGGGATTAAAGGAGTTTGCCACCACTGCCTGGCGGTGAGAATATCCGTCTTTAAAAGCTCTGAAATGGTAACAATTACAGACACTCCAAAATGCCTGTGACTGCTCTGTAGACTGCTCTACATGTACTCCAGCAGGAGAGTGACCAGTTTTTTAAAGTGCTCAGACACTGTGGCACCATCACACCATGAGACCAGCAGCTCAGGACTTGGCCACTTTTCAAGACTGCATGTCCCTGGAGAAACTGTCTAGTGAGAATGAGTCTTCACGGTTCCTGAGAAGAGCTGTCCTGTTTTGGTGTACTTTGTCAACATGCTGCATGCATCCACTCATACATGAAGACTCTTCATTTACACTGGATTAGAAGTGAAAACACCACTGCACTGCACATAGTGGTATATGTCTGTAATCTTAGCACGCAGGAGGCAGATGGATCATGAGTTTTAGGCTAGACTGGGCTATTTATTCCTAGTGAATTCCAGGCAGGTCTGAACTATATATATAGACCCTGTCTGAGGAAAAAAAAAAAAAACCCAAAACATCAAAGCTGAAGTACAGTAAAATATCAACATTAAATACACAACCATCTTCATATTCTTCACAGCAAGTCTTGTAGTTAGGAGGGCACTATTTGTACGTTCTCCCAAGACATGTATTTCCAGCTATATGCTCTCATCTCCAACAAAAATGCAGATAGCTTCAGGTCAGAAAAGAACCAGAACTTCTGGCTTCAATTCTGGCATCTCATATTAAGTGGTAAAGTCTTATTAGATATAAGCAATTCCAAATAAATGTTTAAGTAAGTTAGTCCTATCACTTAAGATTTACTAAATAACTAAGCATGGTGGTACATGCCTATAATCTCAGTGCTAGAGAGGTGGAGGCAGGAGGATCACTATAAGTTTGAGGACAGCTTTGTCTACACTGTGAGTTCCAGACCAGCCATGCTATATAGCAAGCCTGACTCAAAATATTTAAATAAATGAACATATTTGTTAAATACACAACCTTAAGTTTTGAGACAAAGCACAGCAAAGAACGAGGTAGATGAGGCTTAGTTTTTCTCATTTAAATTTTACTTGGACATGTGTATATCTAGGTGTATATGCTATCAAGTAGTGCTGGTTCCTGCAGAGGTCAGAAAAAGACAATGGATCCCCTGGAGCTAGTCACAGTTATTAACTCCAGTCCCCTTCTATCCACAGCCAACAGAGCTGAACTCTAGTTCTCTGGAGCAGCAGGAAGTACTCTTAACTACTGAGCTCCAAGGGTATCTCTTCAGACAGATTTTGTAGAAATATAAACTTTCTTTTTTCTTTTTTTTAAAAAAAGAAAGGATTTGGTTACCCTAAACTGACCTGATTAACTATGCAACCCAGGTTAACTTTTAACTCATAATTCTCCAGTCTCTGTTCCCTAATTGGTGAGATTATGGGTGGTCCACTTCTATGCTTGTCCTAAATTTTGTTTGTTTATCTGGTCTTGAGGTAGGGTCTCATTCTGGCCTCAAACCCACAATCCTCTTACTTTAGCTTCCTAAGTACTGAGATACAACCATATACCACCACACCCTGCTCCTCTTTAAGATTCAATAAATAGTTCTACATAATTTTTATTAAAATACTGTATATAATTAGATTGGATTTGGTAAAAATCATTGTTTTTTGTTTTTGTTTTTAGGGGCAGGGTTTCTCTGTGTAACCCTGGCTGTCCTGCAACTTGCTCTGGAGACCAGGCTGGCTTTGAACTCAGAAATCTACCTGCCTCTGCCTTCTGACTGCTGGGATTAAAGGTGTGTGCTGCCACCACCACCTGGCTTCCTACTTGGATTTAATTTTTTTGTTGTTTATATGTTATGTATGAGTGCTCTGCATGTATACCCGCATGCCAGCAGGGGGCATCATGTCCTACTGTAGATGATTGGGAGCCACCATGTGGATGCTGGGAATTGAACTCAGGTCCTCTGGAAGAGCAGTCAGTGCTCTTAAATGCTGAGTCATCTCTCCGGCCCCACATGGATTTTAATCTTAAGTAGAGTAAGAGAAGACAAAGGTCTTTTTAGTTTTTATTTTTTGTACACGAAACAATTATAATTTCTCTGAGTTTCCATGAACATGTTTTGAATCATGTTTTTGTTTTTAAATTATTTTATGAAGGGGAATAAAAAATTGTGCAGGATAATAGAGCACTGGACTAGCATACAAGAATATTTGGGCTCAAATTCTAGTTCTGTTAGTTATTATTAGTGTGAATGGTGACAAGTTAGAGCCTTAATTTCTTTTTATAAAAAAAAAATGCCACATTCTCTTACTTTATAGCATGATCATATGGTCTCAAAGTTCACAGCACTAAGGAAACCATAACATGCTATTCAAATTTAACTAAAAAGAAGTAATACAACTTAGACCAAAGGTCAGATAGGAAACTCACAGGCTATAATCCCATCCACCTGCAATACTCTAATCATTGAAGATTTCAGCTGAAGCCCCTCATTGTTTCTTGGCGTCAGCAAGTGCACTCATTTCAAGTAAAAGTAAAGCTTAAATGACAAATCTTTACAGCCAAGATTGAATATGTTAAACTGTAGCTAGAAGCAATCATCATTAAAAAAGGCAGGGGTTAGGGACATAGTCCAGAGGTACAGAACTTGCTTAGCAAGTATGAGGCTATGGATTTAATTATCAGCACTTCTCTACCCAGATACAAAGACAGCAGAAACATTGTATTGAAATATTTAAGTAAATGGAGTTTACTTAAAATTAGTGAACAAGAAGGTACATAGTTTATCCTGGGTGAATTAGATAATGTACTCTAGGAAGTTACAAAGACTGCCTATCTTATGCAAATATAGGAACTTCGATAAAAGGCAAGCTTATAATTCATGGTGATATATCATGATAATTGAGCAAAATGGTGTATGTTACTAAAGGCAAGAGTGCTTAGCATAGACTATTGATACTCACAGACCTACAAAATCCAATGTTTATTGAAATTCCCTAAGAAATTGGTATTTCAAATTTGACACTTTCTACCACTAACCAAAATGATTATTTTTGTTATGCAGTTTTCAAAGTGCAAAAGTTTCTTAGACACTCTTATGCATGTTAGAGAAAAACAATCATGATTTAACAACTTCAGAAAAGAGGTATTTGGGTTTTTTTCTTCTTCTTCAAGACAGGGATTCTCTGTGTAGCTGTAAACCAGGTTGGCCTCGAACTCACAAAGATACACTTGCCTCTGCCTTTTGAGTGCTGGGATTAAAGGTGTCTGTCACCACTGCGTGGGCAGGCTTTGGTTTTGAGACAGGTCTCACTTGTAGCTCTGGCTGTCTTGAAACTCTGTAGACCAGGCTGGCCTCGAACTCAGAGAAATCTGCCTGCCTCTGTCTCCTGAGTACTGGGGAAAAGGGTGTTTGCCACCAAACCTGGCTAAGAAAATGTTTTAAAGACACAATAATTAGAAAAAAATATAATGAATGTACTCTCTTGTATTCTACCACAGACATTTTTTTCAAAGTACAGTATAAACAAACGTGTTTTATTCTATTTTTTGCAATAACATATGTGAGTCACTTCAAAGAAAGGGGACAAAGAAAAAAAAATCTAACAGTATTTTCTTTTCTTTTTTTCTTCGAGATAGGGTTTCTCTGTGTATCCTACCTGTCCTGGAACTTTGTAGACCAAGCTGATGGCAAACTCACAGAGATCCACCTGCTTCTGCCTGCCAAGTGCTGGGATTAAAGGCGTGTGCCAATAACACCCAACTGATTCTGTATTTTTTTTAACTGGAAGAAACCCCAGAAAGCATATTTAAACTATGTGCACACATACCTCTGCCATACACTTCAATTCCAGAATGAAAAACTCCAATTCCAATAGATGATGTGTATTCATTCATCCAGTACTAAGGAGAGAAAAAAAAACAACTTTTGAATATCCATTCATTTATAGTCCAACCCTACAGGACAGGTAGAGTAGAAACCCAATTCTTGCTATTTTGCCTTACAATGATGAAATTCTACTTAAGAGTAGCCTAGTTGGCTCTCACACATCTAATCTGGAAGGCATTCCTGTGTCTAGACAAATATTCAACTTAAGTTCAGCACACTATTTAAGGTTTAGCATATAACAAAGTTAAATGAGTGAAACCTAAATATGGATCAGGCTGGTAACAAAAACTGACATAAAAGTGCCATTAGTGATTAAAATAGCACACAGATAGCAGGTCATTAACAAGGGTTATTGAAGAGCCAACCTCAACGCCCTCTCAGGGTTCAGATTAGAAGCTACATGAAGTGAAAAGGGCTCTTTTTCCTCTGGCTATCTGAAGGTGAATGAACGAACTCTCCCATCCTGTACTACTTCTTGCCAGTCTCTTTATCGTTCTGGCATATAAACACACCCAAACAAAGGCAATTCCCTGGTAATCACGAAGTGACAGAACCAGAATTTCTCAAAGTCATAAAACAGGTAAGAGCTGTCCCAAGTGACAGTGAGCTTCTTTAGGGCTCCAGGGAGGCATGGCTAGAGAGATGCCTGGACAGCACTGAGAGGTAAAAAAGGTGATTTAGGAGACTTTAAATTTTAGGAAGGGAGAAGGGGAGTTCACATGTGATACATTTCTATACTAAAGTCCTATATTGGTAAGTCGAGGTAAGAATAGGTGTAGGGAGTTTAATAGCTTTTTTAGGGTTAGAGCTGGGGGGTCAACTGAGGTTAAAACTTTCCCAAGTTGGCTGTGGGAGAATTTGAAACACCTAATCTCTTTATCAGGAAAGACTAAGAATCAAACAAGCTTGGACGTGCCATTCTCCTTTCTTTGAAGGTCCCAAATGTGATCTATTTGAAAGACTTGGCGTTGTTTTTTTTTTTTTTTAAAGACAGGGTTTCTCTGTAGCTTTGGAGCCTATCCTGGAACTAGTTCTTGTAGACCAGGCTGGCTTCGAACTCACAGAGATCTACCTGCCTCTGCCTCCCAAGTGCTGCTGGGATTGAAGGCACGCGCCACCACCGTCTGGCTGGCGTCTAAGTTTTATCTCAGGGAATTAAGCAGAGATTTGACTGTGGGAACCAAGGTTTTTGACTGTGTGACCAAATTTTCTCATTGGGGTACCACATATTGGGGGAAAGTCACCCAGTAAACAATAAAACAAAAGGCAGGTTTTTAAGTTTTCCTAGACCTTGTAGGACAAATAGATCCAATTATGAAGTATGTCCCAGTATATATTCTATATATCAAGGCTGTATAGCTAAATGAAGTCTTTTTCCACAGACACATGTACCCATTAGACTGAGATGCAATCATGAGATTACATATACACATCACATGAAATTACTCATCACAGTGCAGACATTGGGGCGACACCAAGTGCTTTAGCAAAGTGAGCAACAGTTTCAGTCAACGGTCCTGCAGACTCATCTGGACAGAATTAACCTCCATCAGATAACCATTCCTCTGGTGGGTTGATATCTAAACACTAGTTGTCACCTGTTATAACTCTTATGACCTCTGACAGGTCATGGTGGCACATGCCTTTATCCCCAGCACTTGGGAGGCAGAGGCAGATGGGTCTCTATGAGTTCAAAGCCAATATGGTCATTAGAGTGAGTTCCAGGATAGCCAAAGCAACACAGTGAGAAACTGTCCCCCCAAAAAACCCCGAAACAAAACAACAACAACAACAACAAAAAACCCCAAACATAAAGTACCACATATAGACATGCATATTTAGTTCCTATCTATTTTTCTTCTAGTCTAAACTTTTTCTTTCATGCTCTAGTGAGTTCTCTGAAAGTGGGGATACTTTATTCCTTGTTAACATTTATGTTTGTTTACTACCCCAATTCAGCCTAAAGTTTGAAACTAGGAATAAGTAGTATAAAGCACATAGGAACTCTGAGGGTAAGAACAACCCTCCTACAGGCACCATGAAGACAAACTTCCTAGAGGAGGTAGTTAGTATATGAAATGGATCTATAGGCACAAAAAATTTTTTCTCAGATACCAAGTTTGGACTGGGCAGGAAAGAGAAAATGAAAAGAAAAGTCTAAGACTGTGGAAGGGGAAAGGAGATGTCTATCAGTAGTATGGTATGAAACTATAGGGAATGACCGTGAAAGGGTTTAAAAGGGTAGGCTAGAGAAGCTTACACTTAGAAAGAGGTAAATGAGTTAATAATGCATTAAGCAAATACCTAGGCAGTAATTCCAAGTGTTATAAACCTATTGGACTTCTCCTGGGTTAGATGACTGATAATTTGTCTCTAATTTTTAACTTCTATTTTGTGTCTATGGGGCATGTAGTATTGTGGAATATTATTTTAACAATGTAAAGATGTGTTACATTGTTTATGCTGCAAATATTCACTATAGCTGAGGAGGTAGCAGAGTTGTCGAACCTCAGATCATGTACCAGGTCCTGTGCTGGGTTCCCAACACTGAAAAATTAATCATGACAATACAGGATATAGCAAGAATATCCTGAAACACATGTTTATATATACAAATAGTTGCTGTTTGACAAAGGTAGTATTTAAAATCAATTAACAGTGGATAAATTATTAAACTAAGTATAGTGGTGAGTGCCAGTAATACCAGCATTTGGGAGGTTGAGGCAGACGGTGGTGAATATAAACCAGAATTGTAACACAGCAAAACCCTCTCAAGAAAGGAAAATGGAGGGAAAGAATGTGCCCAGCAAAAAAAAAAAAAAGAAAAAGAAAAAAAAAAAGATTGTGCCCAGCTAGGGGTGGGTAGGAGACAGAGGTGAGGGCAGCGAGGAAGGTAATGAGTGAGAAGCAAGAACATATGAAGATACCAGATGAAACTCATTATTTTACATGCTAATCTAACAACAACAATAACACCTCCAAAAAGCAAACACCCCCACCCCATCCCCCTTCTTTTTCAAGATAGATTTTCTGTGTGTAGCCCTGGCTGGCCTCAAACTCAAGAGATCCACAAAACATTTACCCAAATATATCTATCCTTACAGTCCAAGCAAACAAAAGCTCAGGACAGCCAGGTATACCAACAAACAAAAGTTCCATAAAAAAAAAAGAATGCCCAAAGATGTGTAAGCAACCACAGAAACAATGTGTAGTCAACCAATATGAATAATCTCACTAGTAAACAGGAAAATATTCATTACAATTTATCCTTTTTTTTTTTTGCCTAAGACTGTCAGTACTTTGTTAGAAAAAGGACGAGGAAGGTTGCACATTTAGGAAACAATCTAGGCAGTTAACTATCCTCTTCATACAGACACACAAGTATTTAGATTTTTTTTTAAAAAATGTGAACTGGTCCTAATGGGCACAAGATCTTTTTTTTAATTTTACTTATCTATTAATTTCATACGCATTGGTGTTTTGCCTGCATGTATATTTGTGAGAGGGTGTCAGATCTTGGCGTTACAGATGGTTGTGAGCTGCCATGTGGGTGCTGGGAATTGAACCCGGGTCCTCTGGAAGAACAGCATGTGCGCTTAACCTCTGAGCCATTTCTCCAGCACCAAGTATTTAGATATTAATTGTTATGTTTGTCATTAACTTCCTATTAAAGACAGAACAGGAAATAGAAAAGAAAATAAATGTGACAAATGTTAAAAATGGGTCAATTTAGGCAAAGGGTATGTAGACTATACTCTTCTTTCAATTCTTCTGAAGATCTAAACAAAACAAAACAAAAGGTGGGGGAGGCTAGGCATGGAGGTATATACTGTAATCTAGCACTCAGGAGAGCCAGGCAGAAGGATTAGGAAAAGTTCAAGACCCTGCTGAAAATAAAATAAAAAGGGAGAGGATAGGTAGTAAGCAGTTAATGAGATTTATTAGTTCTTTGCCTCCTTGCAGCAAGAGATGCCTTCCTAAGTTTCTCCCTATTCTCTTTTTGATCTCTTTTCAGATTAAGAAAACAAAAACACTCTGTAGTCTCAGGATTATCTGCTAGTCTTTTCTAGCTGAACAACTAATTGTTCATACAGCTTGGAACCAAGGCTTTGGTCTATGTGCTACTGCTATCCTTAACAACAGTACCGACATGCTTTTATTCTAGGTACAGAGAGCTCTACTTTAAAGTTACCTTATCTCTCTTTCATGTGCACTTCTTTCAAAATACAGAATATTTTCCAAAAAGAGACATACATACAGTGTTTGTATCACTCAAAAAGATTTTAAGCAAGTACTAAGTGGAATATTTCTATCTAATGTTCACTATTAATTATAACTTTTCTTTTAGGTAGACAGTAAATAGTCTTCTAGAATGGGGAATCTAAGTGTTTTATTAAAAAGAGAAACAATTTTATGAAGAGATTATACTTAAACGATGACTGCTGACAAGAGAGTAAGGCCGGAAGGCACTTGGCACAATGAGGCCCCTGAACTCTCTCTTTTCACAAATGAAAATAATTTCTTCCATACTTAAGGATTCAAAGCTTAGAACTAATATGTACTTGTGGATTCATTACTTTGGTCTAAAATTCAAGTCATTACTAAAAGTAAATGACTATGCTTTGACACATTTTTCCATAAACTGAGAGAATCTTAAAAAGAAGAATCATGTATCACTTCAAAATCTGATCAGAACTTTGGAATTCACAATAATGACATGTGGCCTACATAAAGCACCTGAAGAATTGCTGAGGCAGCACAATGATAAACCAATACCAGTAGCTTTCTTTGCAAGTGGTAACTTCTTTCAAATGGAAAATTAGACAATCCGATTGCTTTTGTTCAAGGTTCTAGAAAGTCACAAGTTGCTAGGAATAGATTTTTTCTTAAAAGCAAAAATATTCCTTTGGGCAGAATTTAATAACAAGTACAATTCTCATTCCTAACATCTTTTTCTTTGAAGGCTTTTAATACTGTGTAAGGCACAATAACTAATATTGTTGCTTAAACATTG